AATCAAACTCAAATTAAATTTTAATAACAGCACCAAATTCTCCCTTAGATTCGTATTAGATAACAATTCTATTGGTTAGGCCTGCTCTTAATTTTAATAATTTCTCCGATGAGCCGAATTTCATGTTCAATTCGATTTTGTATAACTGAGATTAAATTGAATTGTGATTTAATTGCTTAAATAAGCTGGCTAGAAGATGTCTGGTATATGTATGTATGTACATTGGAAATTTATGAACGTCTATCATTCGAATAAGGCTACTATTTGGGCAGGGCTACTATTTGAGCAAGGTCACTATTTATAAAATTATGAAAAAAGGCACTTTGTATGAGGGTTAAAATATTTTGAAACTTTTAGATTTAAAAACATTTTGGAACCTGATGTACCACCATCTGCTTTTGCTTAGCCATGCTTTTCTGATAGTACTTGCACTGGTTTTATTTATTTTATTGAATTTATAAACTTAATTACTTTATAATTTCTCTTTAAACAGAGCTCTTCAAGATGGACAAAATAGAGAAGAAAATCGAAAAAACCTCGTCTAACAATCAAGAAACAACTGATCGAGGACGGTCGGCAGAACAAGTGTCTAGTATGAATTTTGACTCTTTTATGAAATTCTCAGCATCCAGTCCCAACTATTCTACTGGAGAACAACGGACAAGCGCAAGACGTGAACAAGCAGTAGATCCTTTGTATACTGCATTGGAGAGCAGCTTACATCTCCTGAAAGACAAGAAAAAACCAAAGAAAACACAACAAACTGGAAATGGTATAACTCCAGAGGAATTTTATAGGCAACCATTGAAGAATGAGCCGAAAAAACATGCTGATCACCCTTTTTATGCTCAACCAACTGATAGAAAACCAGAATCTCCAGGATTGAGGAAAACCCGGGAATTGTTTTATGCAACACCGCCGCCAAAACGAGTGACAATTAAAGAGCATAATTAAGAAACGAAAAAAAACCAAACAAGTTCAGCAACCTGGTAAAGAATCCTTTTAAAATGTTTGGTAAAAAAAGTCAGCGAATGGTTTAGAATCAATAACTCAAGCACAAATAGAAGCTGATCAAAATCCGGCACAGTCAACGACTCGAGCGTTGGATGGTCCGGAGATCCGCTACAATTTTAAGATGATGTACATATAACAAAACGTCAGGAGAACGATAATACAAATAATCGTACTGCTATTTTCAAAAATATTGCGCCGTTTGTACAAATCCACATGAATGGAGTTGTCGTTGGGAGAAATATACTGATTTAAAAGCCAAAGGTTATAGGAATGGAAGAGATGTGGGGGTATTGATAGACTAAAAGACACATTATTCTTGCAATTTGTATTAGTGTTAATCTGCCATTTTAAAAATTTGAAATTGCGTTTTTATATAATTTTATCTAATTCTAAAAATGGGATGAGAGCGCTAAGGTGAAAGTATTATTTTATTCTAGTCCTAAGTAAGCCTGGTACCGGTAGGTTTTTGCATGTGGTTTGTATCTACCTTCGAAGTATAGGAGCAAATATGCTAACCATATACGAAGCATATTAATTATACGTCTTTAATTGCAAACAAGTCTACGACATGTACGTTAAACCTGCCAGTACCTATTTATAGCAAAATAAATTTCATCTGCGTCATATTTTCCGTGGCTTTCTAGATGCTCACCATTATCAATGTTAGTCTTAATTCACTGGAGGATTTAACATTTAAGATTAAGGATGTTTAATCATTTAGACTTTACATTACTTATTGTTAGACAATCCAAAAACACGTGCCTGACCATACCCGAACAACGCTTCTCGTAATGCACAGGCAGTTAGAGCAACTCCATTCTCCCAAGACAACGACCGAAAATTCTAACGTTTTATCGTTCAAGTTTTCGAGTTGATGGGAGAAAAATTACAGAATTTTTTTGAAATACATTTACAAATAATAACTAAAATAAACATGCATATGTCAGGGTCTGGTTCTTACATAAGTCAGGTTAAATAAATTGAATTACATTATTGTATTTTACTTACATGTAAAATATAATAATTCAATTAAAAATGTTTAGAGACGAATTCTTTAAAGAATGCACGGTAGGCAACGTCATAGCCACCGAAACACACCATGTTTTCACCACAAATTGTTATAAAGTTATAGCTAACGGTTTAGTGTTTTGTTACAGGTTAACTAACTTAACCAGGAACAAAACATCGGACGGGTTCATACTCCAGAACACCTTACTTCAAGGGTAGTGATCGAAAACTTCAACGCCTTATAATTGTTGCCCTTTTCCACTTGTTGGGCGATTTAAATTTATTTAAAATTTTTGTAAAAGTTAATTTTTTGAAATACATTTCCAAAAAATAACTAAAATAAACATGGCAGATCCTGTCTATTTGTTACTGATCCTTTAATACCTTAGGAATGCTGATTCTTTTGACAGTCTGGCTTCTTGGATTGGAAGCACACCTTGTTCCCAAAGTTGTAGCCGTAATCATATCCTTACTGTAATTGTCGGATTCGGAAAGCCGGAAACCAATCAGAATGCAGGAATATGATGGAAAATTTGATGGGACGGACTTTTGGAAATTATAATATAGATAGATAATTAGTGTTTATACTTTAAGTAGAGAATGTTAAAGATTTCTAAGAATCATTCCTTCCGCTCGTTCGTAGCAATTAATTACCGTAAATATACAAACTACTTTGCAATGTGCAAAGTTACCAGCCATTTTGCCTTGCAACACCGACCTCTTGATTAACGAGAGTTTGGTAAATCTTAACCAATAAATACCAACACAATAACATCAATCTTTACTTTATCTTCTTCTTCCAATTTATGCAAATATTTTACGCCAATGATTTTATATTTAGGATCATGCTCTAATAATCACTAAAACCAACTAAAGGCTACAACCACGACTTGATTATGTAGAATACCTGACCCGACAAGAGGACTTGGATTCAATTTATTTAGGATAAATGGAGATATTTTGTTATGTACAGTTAATCCTTTACAGTGTACTAACTGAAAAAATGCATTCTTAAATATTAAATTGTTACTTTAATTGCAAGATGCAGGGAAAACTGGACATTCGAAATTATGAAAACACTTATCTTATCAGCCCTGATTGTTGCTGTCATCCTCCTCGCGGGTATCTCTATAATAAATTCGACACATTTACATATTTATGTCCCAAAAATGTGGACTTTTTATGTAACTATGGACTTATCTTTACCGATATGAACGCGGAACCTGTTCGGAGCAAGTTATATTCAATCCTGTCAGAGGTCATATGAGGTATTTTTTAGATTGTAATGACCATAAATACTTTATATATTCTGTGTTAACATTAACACATTTTAAGTTTGAGTTTAAAAAGGAATACGCGTTCTCGGCAGGGACGAACCCATTTTAGCTGCAAAGTTCAAATGCCACCTTGAAAACTGCGAATATCGGGAACCTAACCTGGTATTCCAACTCTGCAATACAATTTTTCATTTTCCAGTATGCAGTTAATACCATCAAATGATCAAGTCTCAGACCCCACAAAGTATACATATTCTGAATCCTCTCGCCAATACCTTTCCAGCGATACCCCATTTATGGGGAAATATGACCTTCGACATTGTGACCTTTCGATCCCCGAAAAAGGTCACGCAGGTCGATTTCGACTTTTGGGGTAATTTAACCTTTATTCTACTACTAATAATTTGCAACGAAGTAAAACTTGGTTAAAAGCTACCGTATGAACATTTCGTCATACTTTTTCGTCATAGGGAAAAACTAATTTTTGAGTCAATCTTACGTCGCTGCGAAAAACCCCTGAAAGTCGGAATTCCAACTCGGTTCGAAAAACCTATCGAGGTACCGATCCAGAGAGTCTAACAAATTTTTGTTTTTGAAATTTCATCAACCCGTTCCATAGATATGCTGTGCCCTATGTGCACCATATTAATCTCCCATTATTCTCATAACCCCCCAGGGAATATTTTGGCGCCCGAAAAAATTGCTAAGTTTTAATTCTTTTCATGTGGGGAACATAATCCAATAGAGTATTTCCACTTTTGAAATAGTCGGCGGATCTGCTTGTCGAATCATTTAATTCTTACTCCTATGCAACATAAATTTGAAAAATCTACTCGTAAGATACAAAATTCAGACCTAAGCATAAAGTATCGCGCTTCTAGCTTGACCTGCTGCAACTTATCTTTTTATGATTGTAGAAGTTTTGAATCTTTTCGGGAGGCAAAATGTTTGAAAACTTTGGAGAATTATGCTTTAAATACATTCACCACAAATTACTAAAATAGTATAGGGCAATGTATTCAGATCCTTCTAATAGACAGGATATGAATACAGGATTTAAATAGACAGTGTCAGTTTAAACTTGTGTTTGTTAAGCTGAACATAACATGGCATACGACATCTAAACAATCATACTGTATTTTAAACATAGATCGGATATTTAGCGTACTCCGTACTCCGCGTACTCCGGCCTCCAGCCAGCCACGCGTACTCCGTACTCCGAGTACTCCGGCCTCCGGTTAACCTTGCATACTCCGTACTCCGCGTACTCCGTACTCCAGAAAAATTTGCTTACTCCGGCCTCCGGAGGCCGGAGTACGTACTCCAAGCCCGCAGTACTCCGCTCTACATATGTGGTCGGATAGTTTGCGTACTCCGTACTGGGTATGGGAAAAAGGAGCCGGCGAAAAAGGAGCCGGCGAAGAAGGAGCGTGGAAGAAGGGGCCGGGCGAAGAAGGAGCCGTGCGAAAAAAGAGCCGGGCGAAAAAGGGGCCGGGCGAAGAAGGAGCCGCAGTAAACAAATGTTTATTTTTATGGTTAGCATTATAATTAGGTCAATATTTATTCTTAGGTGAGGCAAATCAGTTTGCGCTCTTATAACATACATATAAAAAGTCTATCAAACATCAAATCAATTATGGTATATCAAATTCAATAAAATATATAACAATTGCAAAAACAAGACGAAAAAAGACCTCAAGTTTACTTCAATGCAATACAGTGACAAATTCCGCGGATGTATTCGCTTCTAGGAATTTTGCCATACCGGTCAACGGCGGTTTTCAGGCGATCCCGTTGATCCATAACTGATTTTGGTGGTTTTTCGAAAATTGCTGCCACAAATTGCTCTGATTTAAACGTGGTAATGGCCTGTTCTTTCAAAAGTCCGGTGACGAGTTTTGGTAGGGTTGGATGGTGGACAGAAAGCATAGACGAAAACCCTCGATGAAAGCCCTCGCAGTAGTTGTTGGTTTTAGGAAGACCTCGTAAAACGCTCAAATAACAATTCCAAAGTGGAATCGGGAACATCGGTGTTTGCCGAGTTCCTGCCGGGTCAAAGGCGCCGATCCACGTATTTCGAAAATAACTCACGTAGTTATCCAACGTATCCTTGTTTTCCTCAAAGAAGTCACTACGAAGCAATTCTTCGAAACTAGCACTTACATCCGATGGGGGTATAAACGCAAGAGCAATGAGACTTCTGAGGTTGAGCGAGAAGGTAGCATTTGATTCAAGTTCCATCAAATCTGCATCGTCTGAGTTAAAGAACACAAAATCAACCAAAAGTGAAAGTTACCGGAAGTTCAAATGAAAGGGAAAGTGAAAAGTGAAAGCGACCGGAAGTTCAAACGAAAGTGAAAGTGAAAAGTGAAAGTGACCGGAAGTTCAAACGAAAGTGAAAGTGACCGGAAGTTCAAACGAAAGTGAAAGTGAAAAGTGAAAGTGACCGGAACTTCAAACGAAAGTGAAAGTGAAAAGTGAAAGTGAAAACGGAAGTGCAAATATAAGGGGGAGGCTTACGTTGAATGCGTCGATAGTTCGCTTGTCGAAAATGGAAGAAACACGATCGTGCCTCTGATTCTGGAAAGGAGTGAAGCCATCCATTTCGTGAAGCCACTTCGAAGTCAGACATCACAGAAACCCAGAAAGACATGAACCCAGTAAAACGGGAGTATTTGATCAGATAGGCTGTAAAAACCGGGTTTAGTAAAATATAAGTTGAATATGGAGGTAAATACAAAGTTTTACTCTTGGGTTTTACAGTAGTGAGAAATGTGTTAAATGTTCGATGTTAAACTCCAGTTTTAATGAATCAAAACGACTAAAGTAATACACTCACGGAGAAACAAATATATTACATACATTAAACTCTGAGACAGGCTCCCAATATTCTTCTCCGTATTCATACAGTAAAACGTCCGTAAAAGACTGGTAAAATACAGGGGACGCAACTCTGGTTGGCCGTTATTTTCCCTCATTTCACACTTCTTCCGCACTCATATTAGTTAACGATCCTCCATCAATATTCTCTTCATTTAACTGAATTTACAATGTTTTGCATTGTCCATTTTACGGATCCCAGTGATAACAGTGTGCAAATTGTTCCTGAAATTTGGTTGGATGCTACCAGAAAATTTTGCTACTGGCCAGCCGGACCCAAAGCAAATAAAATTGCTTCCAAGTTAATTAGTCAACTTGCTGCTCCACAAGAAAATTGGCAACTGCATCCGATTCAACTTAAACGTAGCAATGGTAAGTTTATGCTAATTTACTTCTATAACTTTTAATACATCAATTATAATTTATAATTTGTTAAATAAATTATAGTTCGAGATTTGAAGGAAGGAAAAGCCCTAGAAAAACGTGCGGAGGAGGAATCAAATCTCGAGTCGTCATCGGATCATTCTGGGGGGACATCTTCGCGAAAGAGAAAGATATTTGAAAGAAAGATAAGCATAAAAAAGAATAAGGGGAATGAGGTATCGTTAGAGGAGGAAGACAATCTGAGGTTATCGCCCGCATTACCATCAGACGAAGATGAAGGTATGGAATTTTACTTAACAACTACTTTCGTTATGTTTATTATATTATTATTTAAAAAAACACTTGTGCCTAATTGATAACACATTATAGTGCAAAGTGGTTGACATTAACTGCTAATAATTACTCACAGGACCTACAGATCACGGGTCATTTTTGGAATCAACAACCGTCACCACTCCTCCCGAATCTGTGCCAGTGAATTCACAAATATTTTCGCCTCCGGGGGAATCACAAGTTATCGAAATTTCTGTATTCCAAACTGAGGAAGACTTTATTGTGAACAATTCAGCCGACGGCGATCTGGGCCAAGAATCTGAAGAAGGAAAACTACCACCTGGGACAACTCTGCTAACTTTGTATACACGGCAGATCGGTACTAGACCTCATTTAAGTCATTTCCGTAATTAGTCAACGAGAAATTATTAACAAAAACTTAAATTTTGTATATAGCGCTCGAAAAATATCTGCTCACTACCGTCCGTGAATTAAAGGATGATATTCAAGAGCTACTTATTCGAACTAAATCGACCTCAACTAGGGTGCAACTCAATGTCCCGGTAAAATTGCCACTTGAATCTCTGACGGATATGAGAAGCTTGGAACACTGGATGGCTGATAACAATCATAAAACCAGCTTGGTACAAATATTTGATAATTATTTTAAATTGTTTTGCCAAATTTTATTAATCCACAATTGCTTATGTAGGTTGACATGTTTTCATCCTTTGGGGGCAAGACACCACAGAAAGTTGTCACTGGAATTCTGCAACGTCTATTCTCAAAAGAATTAGCGGTGCAAACAAATTACATTGGGGTTCACAATAAAATTTGCTTCAAAAGTTCTCCATTAGCTGCTGCGGTTCTAGGTTAGTTGTTAAATATTTCTTAAACATTTGCATATATGCCAGGATTTTGAATATTGGGGTTTATAATATGTAGGCATGTGTAATAATATTGCACACATGAGAATTAATTTACACTAAGCGGAAAGAAGCCATGAGTACAACTGTAATTTAGATAATAAGTTTTTTTGCTGATAACTAGACGGAGCTTTGGAAAATCCAGTTTGCCGTGCTTCCAAGACGTCAGAAATTGTTGCCTTCATTCAGACTTGGCTTCAAAATTCTCGGCCGCCGAAATCCCAACAGTCACCAGATAATAACTCATCCTAATGTCGTCATATCGATCCAAGCGCCGCAGAATCATCAAGGATGTTCAGTCCACTATTAATTCGTTAAGTAAAATAAGTCCTGAAGTTTTGGTTACTCCATTAAGAAGTGTGCCATCCTATAAATATGATTTTTCTTTGGGTAACAGCAATATTCACAGTCTAGAAAATGTAGTAAGTCCTTCAATTGAGTTGACACCATCGTCAGCTTCTTCTCAAGTTAGCCTGAAACATGCATTATCGCATTGGGCAATTTCATTTAACATATCTCATAACGCACTAGATTCTTTATTGCCAGTTTTAAATAATCATCTTCCGGACAATGAAATTCTTCCCGTATGCGCCAAAACATTATTACACACTCCGAGAAAAATAACCGTGACTTCCATTAAAGGGGGGAAATTTAGTTATTTTGGTATTAAAGATCAAATTCTTAGGGTTAGTTGTTCTAGTTTTAGAAATGAATGTAAATATCCCATTTTAAAAACATTTGTAAATTTAAATGATTCAAATGATTTATTGTCAATAACTGTAAGCACGGACGGATTCCCAGTGTGTAAGAGTAGCAATACGCAAATGTGGCCAATTTTATTTACAATTGACCAAGTCAAAAATATGTCCCCAGTACTGGCCGGTTTATTTTGCGGCGAGAGTAAGCCATGTTGTGTTAAAGAATTTTTAAAACCATTTATTGAGGAGGTTAGAGATTTAGAATTAAATGGGCTCACTGTTGATTCTGTTAAATATAGATTTCGAATAAGTGCAATTATTGCAGATGCGCCTGCGCGTAGTTTTATTAAGGGGTGCAAAGGGCATAATGGTTATCATTCTTGTGAGCGCTGTATTGACGAAGGTGAATACAATGGGCGAATTATTTATTCTGTTAAGTCTAGTACGCTTCGATCTGATGAATCATTTAGGGCGAAACTTGACATTGATCATCATGTGTACGACTCACCATTGGCGATACTTAATGTTGGATTGGTTAGTCAAGTCGTTATAGACTCAATGCATTGTTTTTATTTAGGAATTATGCGTAAACTCTTAAATATTTGGATTTCTGGGCCCATAAAAAATCGTATGCAATCTAAGAAAGTTTTCGAAATCTCGGACTATTTATGTCGTATTTCCAAACATGTTCCTTACGAATTTAACAGGAAGCCGCGCTCATTAAAAGATATTAACAGGTTCAAAGCTACAGAGTTCAGACAACTTTTATTATACACAGCTCCAATGGCCTTTCGTGGCATTCTTTCTGACGAAGCCTATATCCACTTTCTAAAGCTTCATTCAGCTGTATATATTTTATTATCTAACAACGCTCATGTGGATGAGTGGAATAATTTAGCAAAAAGTTTATTAGAAAAATTCGTTAGTGACATGAAAAATATATACGGAGCAACACAAATTGTCTATAATGTACATAGCCTGTTACATATTTCAGATGACGCAAAACTTTTCGGTAGTTTGGATAACGTTAGCGCATTCCCATTCGAAAATCATTTGCAGTTTTTAAAAAAACAAGTCAGAGGGAAAAAACTTCAGTTGGAGCAAATAGTTAAACGAGTGGAAGAAGCCCGTAATTCTGATTATTTGCAGTCAAAGTCCGCCAGATGCAAAAATTATGTACAAGGTAAAAATAAAGTAATCCGGCGATATTTTTTAGAAAAATTTAGCATTGGTACAAAGTTTGGTGATAATTGCTTTCTGGATGGGGAAATGAATATAGTTCTCGTTAAATCAATAACAATTGATGACATAGGTAAACCTAACTTCATTTGTCAAAAAATTCTTACTCGAAACACTGTGGGTATGTATCCGATTAAGAGTAGCAAATTATGTATGTATAAATTGTCGTTAAATTTATCTAATGATTTTGTACTTAATAGTAATTTGTTGTTTATGAAATGCGTTTTGTTACCGTATAGATTAGATTCTAGTTGTTACTATTGTATCCCGATGTTAAATAATTACATTAATCCTAGCCGTAATGGAGTTTTGTTAACTTAACTTGTATAGCGTAATTTTTTTTGATTATTGAAGAGATAATAAATATGTACAGATTTGAAAACAATTAATGTGTAAAATGATCGTAATTTCAGAAATAATACAGTAATATAACGTCTGTATTCATCGAATACAACACGAGCATAAAACAAGCATATAACTGACCCTCAAACCCAAGAGTAATACTTGTGTTTTACACGTTACATATTCCCGTTATTGTTACGTGCCGGTCTGCCACAATACGTAAAAAATACGTAAAAATCATACAGGGTGTAAAACAGGCATAATATGGGAAAATGTCTTTCTGGGAACTGGGGCAAGTCCCGGCTTCAGCTGCTTCAGCTGCTGAGGATTTAGCGGCTGACTTCATTTTCCAAAGAGCGTATTTACGCTGACAGACCGCATCACTCGGAGGATGATTATGTGACACGTCACCTGCTAGTTCCTCGCACGCAACGGATCTGTAGTTCCACGAAATGTGGAGCCTACCATGACACCCCTTCTTGTTTTCCGTGCACCTGTAATTATGATTTACATTTTTTTAAATTAATTACACCTAACACGTAAATTTTTTCTCAAGAATAAGACTTACCTGAATAAGTGTTTCGTGTGCGCCGTTTCACTATATATGTAGAAATGACCCTTGTAGGTCACACAGTACCGTTTTAGGGTCGCACCAGGGAACACTTTTAGTCCGGGAGTCGCTGTTTCTATTTCGGAAAGAAGGATCGGAGTCGCCATAGTCACTAAGTGGGAATCAGTGTTGGAATCAACAAGTGGGAACCGAGTCTTACCTACAACTGACCGCTAAAAAAACTGTTAGCTTTATAAGCAGAAATAACTTCCAGAATTTTCCATTCAACAAAAAGTTAAGAAGAACCCGTATTCTTAGAAAATTGTAGCTAAATTTAACAGCAGAAATAACTTACATGTTATAAGAGCGCAAACTGATTTGCCTCACCTAAGAATAAATATTGACCTAATTATAATGCAAACCATAAAAATAAACATTTGTTTACTGCGGCTCCTTTTTCGTACGGCTTCTTCTTCGCCCGGCCCCTTTTTCGCCCGGCTCTTTTTTCGCACGGCTCCTTCTTCGCCCGGCCCCTTCTTCCACGCTCCTTCTTCGCCGGCTCCTTTTTCGCCGGCTCCTTTTTCGTAGACTCCTCCGTACTCCGCGTACTCCGTACTCCGGGTACTCCGTACTCCGCGTACTCCGCGTACTCCGTACTCCGCGTACTCCGCGTACTCCGTACTCCGCGTACTCCGCGTACTCCGTACTCCAGAAAAAGTCGCGTACTCCGTCCTCCGGAGTACGCAAGTACGTACTCCGGAGCCGGAGTACTCCGACCTATGATTTTAAATATTGAGGTAAATTATAAAGAAATATCAACTTTCCCCTACGTTCCTATTTCCAAGACATAGCCCTTCCCCTGCTACATACCCCAACAGACCCACGCCTTGTCCCATCCCACACTTGCCTTACAGCCCTTTACGAATCCAATGCCCTACTGCCCTATGTAGATGGGTTAAAAGGGTGTAGGGCAATCCACTATGTAGGGCCTAAGTCGGATCAAATGATTTTCACTGCAGCTTTTCATAGATTTTTTCTTGAATCATGGTTTTAAGCTACGTTCGAAGAATACATGGAAGCTGGAAATCTACCCAGCATAGCATATGAATTGTAATAAAGATTAATCGGAAATCAGTTTCAGATCATAGTAAAATCCGCTAATACCATTTGCGAGCACTACGTTAGCAGACCAATGAACTTGATCTGATTTATATTTTCTGTAGGCCTCTCAATATACATAATTATCGATGCCCATGAAGTTAGGCTACGTGGCTTCACTTCACTATGTCTCATCTTACGAAAAATAAAGAAACCGGCCGTAAGTTTGTCTGAGCTTTGACCATATATTACATACGTGGACACCGTAATAATCAATAAAAGAATTGCTTAACGGCATTAACCGTAGTCGGAATTGGAGAAACCTTGTTCCAGTTACCAAAGACGATGCATTGCCCGCATTAGATAATACCTCTCCTCACGAATAAGGATAAAAAACCCTTTATGATTGTTGAACCCTTTGATGAACTTTTGCGTTAATACCTATATATTATATAAATTTTTGTACTAGTTAATATTTTGAAACACATTTACAAAAAATAACAAAACTAAACATGCGTCATGGCTTGCAGATCCTGTCTTGATCTTTCTTTGGTCAGTTAAAAAACTATATATGTATGTATGCGTCGGATTAAATTAACTTTTGATCAAGCGGATGCCACCATATATGTAAAGGGGTTTACGACATATACCTTCAAGCATGCAAAGAACATGGAGAAACTCTAAAACTTCAGTCCTAGATTAAGCAAGGAAATTCTATTTTGCGGTAAATAATGACCCTAAAGGGTATAAAACTTAGAAAGTTAGGTTGAGTTGTTATGAAATGTTTCCCAGCAATTTTGTAAGTAGTTTGCCATATGCAATTAATACTATGCAATGCACGTACATATTCTAATCTTAATTTTGTCTAGATTAATTAGTTCACTGATGCTATGATCAGTTTGTATTTCAGACATTTGGCATATAAAGATAAGTAAGTACACAGATAAATACAAAACCTCTGGTAAAGTTAACGTTGGTAAACGTATGTATGTATACATACATATGTATATACATATGTATATACATATGTATGTAAATGATAACTCACCATTTTCAACAGATAGAATCATTGCTAAACATAACGAATCATTTTCTAATGAAGCTCACATTTGTATTTTTTAATTAGACCCCTTTTCTGGATCAGAAATGCATACGAAACGGCCCAATGTTAAACTACAAGCCAAAATATGCAATAGATGACTATTAACCCGGCTTTACACAAATCCAAATCCAAATGCACAATATACAGCTTTTATGCAGTTTTTCTTTGAATAATGAAGCAAAAATTGAGGTAAAAATGAAGTAAAAGTAATGGATATCCAATAATCCAGTTTAGCAAAAAATGTTACCTACTTCAAGAAAAAGTAACGTGCATGAAAGATTCGATTAATTTTAACTTATGACTAAATTGCGTTTTTAATTATAATATAATTTGGGTATAACGACTGAATAGTGTTAATGGAGTGAAATTTTAAAAGGGTGAATTTAAATACAAAAAAATAAATTAATTAGATTTTCTAGTTATAAAAAGTAGTTGGGTTTTGTTGCCACTCGAAACTGGTGAACAGCAGATTGTGCACATACCGCAGTTTTCATAAAAATTGCGTAAAAAATTGAAATATGCTCTAAAATAAATTTTAAATTGTAGAAGGTAGAACTTGCAAAGTCTGACACTCTCATCACAGGCGAAACTGGATGCCTCACTAGCAACAAGCGGAAAATCGGAGCAGTCTAGTCGCGAATGAATCCTTAGTCTTAACGAAGCTTTATTCAACGGTTTGAAACCGGTCCTTCATATAATTGCTGAATTTCTAAGGTCAGTGTCTAAATTCTTTGTTTCCCATTTCTACCATAAATGATTATTGATGCAATGGCATCGTTGAGGGGCTGATCAATAAAACTATTGAAACTTGGTTGAAACATAATTCGTGCATTCCTTGTCTTACAAGGGGTTTGCAAGAATTACTATCTCCATTTGACTGGATCTCTTAATATTAAAGAAAAGGAACTGTTTTTTAAGGGATTGCTTTTTTCATTACGGGTAATGTCAAATGATTTTGGCTTTATACACATTCACAACATTTAATATTGCGAGCAGAAAATGCATTATGCAGGCGACCAATGCAGATAGGTACTTATAATCATTTGTGTACTCACAAAGTCACAAATTCCAGTTCAAATTTATGTGCATATAAACTTACAATTAAGGTCTCCCAACGTATTCTCACTGATTTAGACCAAACTGGCGTCAATCGATCACAAATTTAATTAGTATGAAATTTGCAAATGGCACTATCTGCCAATGCTCAAGTTTAGCGGAGATATTTGCATCCGAAGAGGACAAAACGCGCAGCAATTTTAGAAAGTGAAAATTTGTCAACCTTTGGGCGCATTTTCTTCTCTTGGGATGCAAATATCTCCGCTAAACTTGAGCATTGGCAGATAGTGCCATTTGCAAATTTCATGCTAATTATATTTGTGATCGATTGACGCCAGTTTGGTCTAAATCTGTGAGCATACGTTGGGAGCCCTCCATAATTAGATTAAGGCCCGATCACGTGCAGAGAAGGGAATAAAATTACCATTGTCCAAGAGAATAAAATTAAACTTGACTTCTTTCAAAAATCAAACAGTCATACGAATAATTACACTTATAATTAATGCCTAATAATTTTTCAGGAACCTACCCGTCACCCATATTAAAAACCTTAGTACTTAAAGATTTAAGCACCTAACAAGGCGGTAGTATTTTGCCAAATGAATTTTCGCATGTGGTGGAATTATGCTGAATATATTTTCAGCTAAATTCAGAGTTTTTCGGGGGGATGCAGCTTTTTGAATTTGTTACCTGATTTCAAAAACTAGACGTGTGAACATACTCTTCATCCATTTGAGTTTGAACCATGGCTAAATCTATCTCCATAAGGAACCACCGTTTTTAACATTGCTCCGTATTTAGCCACAGTTCAAACTCACATGGATGACGAGTATGTAATACCTATATATACCTATATATCTATATTTTGTCGATTTTAAGTATTTATAATAAGATTATTTATCTAATTATCGTTTTATCATTATTTATCTAAAAAGGGCGAAAGCGTTAAGGTGGGCTTATTTTTATATGCTGATCCTAAGTCAGGTGAAAAGACCGAAACTGTAGTTTTTTCACATGTTGAGATGAAGTATGGCTTTTATCTATGTTTGAAGAAATCACAGTAGCCAGAATCCTAACCAGCGAAGCACATACGTAGATTAGCTATGCGCGAAATTGACCCAGAGACAAATTGACCCGATGCAATATTGACCCAACACCATGTTGACCCAAGTCATATTGTCCCCATTCTATACAGGCAAGGAGGGTTAAACTCCATGGGCCCATTTACGCCCGCCACACCCCCAAAGACGCCAAAACCCACATAGTTGTCCCACTAAAATCATCACCCAAAATGGAGTTTTGGTCAGAGTAGGATTATTTACATTTTTGTGATCCCAGATAATTGCTCTGTAATATCCAATAGTAATCTCGACTTTTTTTGAAATTTCGAACTTTTTCAATACATTGGTCAGAAAATCTTGCTTGCTTTAAGTGAAATAACGGACATGGTAACCCTTGTTTAAACCGATTAATTTCAAATTTTAACTAAATGGCGTTTTTAATTACGACATGATTTTCGTTTAATATGGCGATAGACTGAAGTAGACCGAAGTAATAGACTGAAGTAGAAATAGACTGACCTAAAGTGCATAATTTGCTAATAGGCTTTGCTTGTCTCTCCAATATCAAATTCAGCTTTTGGACATATTACTTGTGGAACCTGTGCTGAGAAAGTGAGCTGGTGTGGGGTCTCCCGTCCCCCGGCGTGTACATATAATTCAGCCCTAGCAGAGAGACTGTCACGCCAGGTATTGTTTAGATGGTCATGACCATAAATACTTTCTGTAGTTCATGTTAACATTTAAAAAAAGTTCAGGTAGAGTTCAGAAAGGAATCCTCCTCTGCTGACCACGTTCTCGGCTGCGACGAACTTATTTGGGCTGCACAGTCCAAACCTTACATTGAAAACTGCGAATATCGGGAACCTAAACATGCATTCCGATTTTATTACAATATGTCAATATGCAGCTCATACAGTAAAATGCAACTTATGAGAATTTCGGACTTTATTATCATATCTATTTCAATTTTTGCACTGATACTGTGATAAATTTGTACGTCGTTCTTTCCCACTTTTGTAAATTTACGGACATTCAATAAATCTATTAAGAAATTATGAAAGTAAGCATCAGCTAAAGAAAACTAGGTTGGAAGTTGTCTGCTTTTTTAACAGGATTACCTTCTCGTAATGGAGGCAGGTTGAGATTTACCAATCGGCTAATAACAGTGCTACTGACAAATGCACGCTAAGCTACTCGTTTAAGATATTTGAATCTTAAATACTCGTGGTCAGTATCTAGAATACTGAGAAGGTTCCCTTAAGAAATGAACGCGCGGAAATATTGAAGAGCTATGGAAAACGGGCTGAACTTTTCAGTCAAAATTTTACGAAAGATGACATCTGTTCCTTGTCCCCAAGTATGGGAAAGATAGTTATCTAGTTTAAACCTCTGACCTTAGTGAAAGATAATATCATAAAAATATTTTTTAAAATAGGAAATGGATGAAAAAAGTTGTGGACAATCATGCACGATATACCTTTGTTATTGACTAACAAAATGCCGCATACCAATCAATTGCAATCGCAATTGTACCTTCTCTCATTTGCGTGGGTTTCGCGACATACACCATTCTTGATGCTAAACAATTATAGACTTTATTAATGGCTTTAACCGTACCGTGGTGTATTGCCGGACTTTGTTTAGATTTCCGAAAATGTCCCTACAGAGATCATGTTTACAACGCGTAACGCGTAACACCTTACTTCACAGATAAAATTGAAACTTCAAACCGATTAAGATTGTCGACCTTCCCCAATTCTTGGGCGAATTCAAATTATTAAATTTTTGTACATGTTAATTTTTTGAAATACCATTACAAAAAAATAACTAAAATAAAAATGTCAGGGTGGGCAGATCCGGTCTATTGATAACTGACCCGTTAAAATTTCGTTTATCTCAATTCACTTTATCCTTTCTTACCCATAGATCGGATATTTTGCGTACTCCAGCCTCCGGCTGGCCACGTGTACTCCGGCCTCCAGAAAAGGCTGCGTACTCCAAGCCCGGAGTACTCCGATCTATGTTCTTACCTATTAAATTTCTTATCCCGAGTGGAACGAGAAACGATGTGTGGAAAGAGGAGGCAGAAATTCCGTGTGCATTTTAAGTCAAATTTGGATTTTAGGAATCACTTGAGCTTAAATGCCGCATAGCCTAAACGACACTTTTTATGGGAGAAACGTCTTTTTAATCGTCAACAATTTCCCATTTTTTTCAAAAGACCGAAATAGTCTATCTATATATTTATCTAGTTTAATTTCGAGCAGCCAAATATGAAGATAATATATTCAAAGTAAAGGTGATGGAACCTAACCAAGGACAAAGCGGGATTGCAAAATTGTCAAAAATTAAAAGGATTGAAAAACTCATGTAAAATAGAAAGATTTTGATATACAAAATTCGTTGTAAAACGATCAAATTAATTTTTGTCTACTACTTATGCCAAATTAGTCTCAAATTTTCCCAAACTGTCCGCAAGTTACTAATCTGGCATGGTGATGTCGTCGTTGCACATATCAAATGCGCAGATCAATTGGCGAATAACCAGGGAACTACATACGAAACCTAATTTTGCAAAGCGAAACGTTCGCGGGATAATCAGAAAGAATTACATCCGTACTAAAACATATTGTTAGGAATATGTATGCCTACGTAGTTATGTATATGTAATTAGTTATGAATCTGTACTCACTCCAGCTTTAACTCTCTACTAATAAATACTCTCCTCTGTCTCCTCTCACTGTGTACCACTTATTTATGTATAATCATATATACATAACATTGGTGGACCGTCGAGTACTTTCTTTCGCTCCTCCCACTCACAATGGATTTTAAAATTTTCAAAATTCTTCGTCAGACATATTACCTACCAAATTTGCGACGACGACGACTAAGCAGCTTGACCACCGCCCCTTAGAGCTTGTCATTTTGCTTCCGATAGGGAAACTTCCCAAATTTCTGTTCCCAAAATCTTGTGCAAAATGTGTGACTTCCCTATGAAACTTTCGTCTTTTTTGTGAATTTTCATCTGGTCTGTAAATTGGATTATCCTCCCGGATGCTATCGGGTCTGTAAATTGGTTCTAAACCACCCTGAAAATCTGCCTCCATTCTTCAAATTTCCAAATCTCCAGTCCAAAATTTACATTTCATAATTCGACCAAATATGCAAAATTCAAAATTCCGTTATTTGTTTTAAACACGTCAAAAAATATATGCAAAATTGTCCTTCAAAATTGTTAAAAAATCGTAAAAAAATTGTAAAAAAATCCGTTTAATTTTTGCAAAATTATCATCACAATTCTGTCAAAATTTCTGAAAATTTCTGCAAAATATTTGCAGAAAAAAATCATTTTCATGCATTTCGTCTCGAAAACCGCCCCCATTCTTTATTCACTTTTTTGTTGCAAAAACGTAATCTGATTCATTCTGTCTCAAAATTCTGCTGAACTTTGATGCTCGATTTGCGTTGTCACTACTTTCCCAGGCTCGGAATGAAATCTAACGCCGAGATTAATGTTTGTAATGAGCAACGTCTACATAATATTTGCATGGTTAAGTATGGAAATCCAGATTGTATATAGTTCCCCTTTTTTAACCAGTCACGGTTATGGGTCACCCACATAAAACCCTGAGTCTTCGAGTTGTACGGTTACGGGTCAGCGTCTCAAATCTCTCACAAGTGTGCGTATTCCACTTGTAACTTCGCTACGAAAGTCCACATTGTATATAGTTCCCTGATTTAAAGAGTTGCGTTTATGGGTCACCCACATAAAACCCTGAGTCTTCAAGTTGTATGGTTACGGGTCAGCGTCTCAAGTCTCACACAAGTGTGCGTATTCCACTTGTAACTTTAAAGTCCAAATTGTATATAGTTCCCTTATTTCAAGAGTTGCGGTTATGGGTCACCCACACAAAACCCTGCGTCTTCGAGTTGTCCGGTTATGGGTCACCCACACAAAACCCTCACCAGTCTGCGTATTTATGTATCTCCGATATCCCGATGGACCACATACCAAGACCACAATAATTTATTTCTCTTTGTTCATCGTTTTGTCCAAATCTGCAAGTTTTATATAAGTCAGCCACCACCACGCCTGAGATGATACAATTCTACCACCGATTGCGAGCCATACCATCTTCTCAAGTTCCAGCCCGTCATAATTACGACCTCATTAGTTATGTGTATTAAATTGTTCAATGTTATTCATGCAAAATATTCGTTCATGTTTGTTTTCCGGAGTCATTTCATATTTCGTTTTTCCATGAATTTTACCTATGTATTTCTCAAACCACCAAAATTTCTAATTCAAATTGTTAGTTTGCAGACCTACACACCTTTCAGACTATTTTTCAGGAGAAAAATTTTTTCGTGAGAGGGTAGTGTTAGGTATATGTATGCCTACGTAGTTATGTATATGTAATTAGTTATGAATCTGTACTCACTCCAGCTTTAACTCTCTACTAATAAATACTCTCCTCTGTCTCCTCTCACTGTGTACCACTTATTTATGTGTAATCATATATACATAACAATATGAAAACCAGTTATATGTTTATTGCTTTGGTAATTCAATCACAATTGCCCAAACTACTATTCAGTACCAACTATTTTGCCAAATACTTTAGTACCTTTAGCAAAATTAATTTAATCTGTCTTATATTTTCCATGGCTGTCGCGATATTTACCTTTATCGATGCCATTTACCATTATCGATTTACTTTAATAGCGGTGTAGTGGAGGAATCTTGGAATGATATCGTGGAATGAACGGGCCTTGCGAATAGCACCATATTTTAGAGATAACGATTGAAACCTATAACCGTTTATAATTGTTGAAATTATTGAAATTTGTGTAGACATTAATTTTGTTAAATACATTGCCACAAAAACATAACTAAATTAAACATATGTCCGAGTAAACAACTATTTACATAAAACTGACCCGTTAATATCTTGGAAATGCTAGTTTTGATGCAGTTTTAGTTCAAGATCGGAAGCAACTTATCAACTAAAAGCGAAGTATGTCTATTTTGCACCTCAATTTATCTTTTCCCACTTAAGATAAACTTGTCCTGAGTGAAATAAAAACTTCGCTGCTTAAAGAGGCAGACATTCCGTGCGAATTTTAAATTTTTCATTTAAAGTTAATTTTTTGAAATACATTTACAAAAAATTAAAAAAATAAGCCTATACCAAGATATGCAGATCCTGCCAATTTATTTGTAACCCGCTAATAAATACCTTGGGAAAGCTTATTCTTGTGGCGGTGTGACGGAAGATCTGAGATTTGCAGGTAATCCTTGGGAAAGTTGCGGGGAAAATGTTAAATCAATTTTTGCACAAATTTGCCTATTCTGCGTTAAAAAACTTGAATACACATTTGTAAGTGTAAATCACCCAGGGGCCATCCATATATTATGTCATCAAAAATTCTAGAGTTTGACACCAACCCACCCGACGTGTACATACATACATATATTAAGGGATAGGGAATTTTAGCCTGGGAAAGATAGGGAGACCTAAACCACCAAGGTAATATATGGACGTTCCCTCACGCCTAAAGCTAACCGACACTATTCTGCCTTCTACTAAACTGGAATAAGATATTTAATTATGTATGTAAGCATTGCAAACTGCATAATGCTGCCTGACGCAGAAAAACTCGCTAAATATAATGTGCATTTTTTAAAATTTGCTTTGTCACTTTGAATTTGAATTAAGTTGTGTACTGTGAACTGTTAAGCGCTGCGACTTAATAAACTAATTTTAAATTAATTAATCAATTAAATACTAGACTAAATATGTACACTAAATAAATACTAGTACAGCAAATTTCGATCTATTGACTATTTATCAGGGTAAAAAAACACGCAAAACGTCTTAGCTTGTTCCCCGCATGATGATGATCCTCCGACAACACTCAATTTTTTAGAGTTCTGCTTTGAGTTCTCTTCCACATGGGGACGAGGGGAGACCATTTAGGAAATTCTAAATAATGGAGAATTTTTACTTAAAAATCGAAATTAAGAAATATGTATAATTATGAAATAATTCTTATAAATATGTAGATACGTTATACGATTAATTTATGTACATTCTTACCTAAAAGTCGACCATCCTAAATATCTGGCGACAGGTCCAGTGTGGAGTGGCAAGTGGATATGACAGTAGATTTCCGGATGCAAATTATCCCTAGTTTGATTGGAGAAGTCAGTCCCTGAAATAAAAGTATCATTACTTTTCTGGAAATGTTTAATTTTACAAGTTAAATAGAGTTATGTACATAATCATAAGTATAATTTTAATACACGCGTATTTATTTATTAATAATTGATACATTTTAAGTTACGATTAAAATAGTAGTACTCGAAATTTTGAAATTCCCATTCAACATTTAACTAAATGTTCCCATGTGCAAGGACTTTATGACATGTGCACATATGTATGCATATCAGGGTATTCCGACCTGGGTTTTAATGGGTTGGGTTTTATTGGGTTTTATTGGGTTTTAATGGGTTGTAAATGAATAAAACCCACTGGGTTTTACCATGTTAGGTGGGTTTTATTTGGGTTTTAATGGGTTTTATTGGGTTTTAATCGAGTTTTACCTTAAAACTATATTCTAAAAGTTAAATACATCTCCTATACGTTAGAAGACGTTATCTCAATTCATTCTAAAGCAGTTTATTTCATTACTATTCTAATATATGAAATTCGGAACAAATCAACAATTGACTCCATCCTTTAGCATCACATATTTCAAGTGTTATAAAACAAAAATAATTTCCGAATAGATACAACTTCCGAATTATTTTTGTTAAATTATTACTTAAAACCCAATAAAACCCAATAAAACCCAATAAAACCCATTAAAACCCAAATAAAACCCAATTAACATGGTAAAACCCATTAAAACCCATGGGTTTTATTATTTTTGATTAAAACCCTGGGTTTTTCCGAACCCTGAAATTTTTTATATGCATTGCATATAAAAAATTTCATAACTAATACAACCAAAATCCAAAATATTAAAACAATTTGTTTGAAAATGAGTGACTTGCAGAATAAATGCAAATTTAGAGGAGAATGTAAAATACATGGAAATGCGAAATACGAATTTGGTATGCACACGTTTTGAAGTCTAAATTCTTACAAAACTCACCCGTGCGTGAAACTTTAATCAGTTCAAATTATTTAACTTTCTAAATTTTACTGGAATTAATTCATTCCGATATCACATAATTACCTGGAAATTATGGAACTCGGTATGACTGCAAAGTCCATGGTGGCCCAATTTTGAGGTAGCCATTGTTCCGTATATAAACCTGCCAGAACAAACATTATTTTTTATCCAATTCAATACTGACAGCATTACATAATCAGAAACGAAAGAAATATCATTGCACACAAAATAAAAGAATTTAAAATTATCCATATTGCAATTCACTCCCAAGAAATGAGTGAAATTTTCAGACCAAAATTACGCTAATTAAGACAAGAATTCGGCCAAAATTACATAACGTAACCTGTAATCTATGTATGTATGTATGTAAAATTAATTTGAAGAGCTTCAAATTAATTTCAATTTACATATTTAGCTCCATCCTTTAATTTCAAATGTATGTAGGTCTATGAAGGAAATTAAGTCAGGGAATTTAGTATCTACTAAGGATCAATTGGTCGATTAGTTGACTTTGAATGAGTCAAGTAAAAATTGCAAAATATTTTGAAATAGTTATACTCACCCTGAAATGTTTTCGTACAAGTTATTAATTATTTTTCACACTTTATGAAATAATTCAGGAACCAGTAGCAGTCACCATGCTCACTCGGTGACGAATGAGACGCGTCTGATCTAAATAGCTTGGGTGGATAAGATTTTCGTCATGCATACTTACTTATGAGTCATCAGGGACGGATTAGATTGCGATACTGGAATGAAGAAGACCTTTGCACGGCTGGAACTGTTTCCCATCAGAGTGAAATATGTAATGTGCATGTATAACGTCATCAGAAAAACACCGATTTTTAACCCATTCTTCTTCAATGGTGCTTATTTTAAATTTAACACGGGCATAAAATGCGATACAAAAAACCACTTAACCACCTTTTTGATGACGTAATATATGCACGTTGCCAGACGATATTTCTAATCTACGCTGAATACATATTTAAGCCACGCAGTTGAGTATTGTTGTGTGGATAAGATTATGAAAATAGATTATTAAGTAGGAAATGCTTCCTAAATAAATACTTATGAACATATGTATATAGATATTAATCATGGTCTTCTTAATCCTAAATTTTATTGAGTTTGGTCATGCTTTAAACTTAAATGAGGACAGGGTCAAAGTCACTGTATCCAACGAAAAAATAATCCACAGTTCAACCTTTCTTAAACACATAGATAAGTGAATATGGGAATATGTCATTACCAGAGGAGAGTGAAAATTTAATGTTTTAGACATCACAAGTATGAGTCATGACAAAAATTGTAAAAAATGAACACATTTCTAATCATTTTTCTGCTGTGGTAATTTATTTTTAAATTCTGGACGAATAATTTGTAATGAGTAATAATGACTAATATTTAGAATGGGGGTTAGTTTCTTACATATGTAGTAAATTTTCGATGAGTTTCATTTTTTATGAAGGCTTCGTAAACCTGAAATGTATGTACTCTATCAAAAAATTGTCAATGTTTGGATTGTCCAGATCTACAGATTTAAAAATTTGCAATGCATTGCAAATGTTTAAATCTCTGGATCTGGCCATTGCAATGGCCAGATCCACAGATTTGTACTACAGCGTGCAAGAAGGTCCTAGGACGGATAAATCATAAATAATTTGTTGAGTTCTAAAGAAGGAAATCTCAAATTAAGCCAATTTTCAAATGCGGTGTCGTCATACATATTTTTCAAGTCCACGCGTGAAAATTATATATTTTCAGGTATATTTACTGACGTGCATGTACATACATATGTACAGATGTACATATTTACATATATATACCTATGTACGTACATATGTACATACATATTTCGCTCAGCAGCACAAAGCGCAAAGAAATATGACGATATTCAAATTTTATGTAGGAATTGAGGTGCATAAATTTAGTCCTGTTTCACTTTTACTCAGGATCCACAGTATTTCGTTGAAATACCATTTGATTCATAATTTTAAGCACATTTTTTCTGTCTGTCCTAAATAACTACATATGTACATACGTATAGATTTAGACATATTTAATTCTGGATGTTTAATACTTAAATAATTGATAACCAACAGAATAAAACATACAGCAAATGCAAATTTAAGTTAGGAGTAAATATGTGTGTGTGTTTGTAGGTACATATGTATGCATTTACATACATACTTACGTGTATTCATAAAAATGTTAACTACAGCTAATATCTTGTACTTCCTGTCCGTATAAACTATACGTACTTACAATGCGATGACGCCAGCGGTCTCGTCCCCATTTTGATGAAACTTCGATAATTATGTAGCGTTAGGTAAATAATTGAACACATGTTTCGGGATTTTCATAATGCTCAGTTTAAACAAAGTTAAGATGGTATAAGTGGCCAAAAATTCTTTTTTTGTTCTTAAGGGAGAAAAATGCGAATTTTTGGCCATCATCATAGCCATACCATATAGACAGTCTGAATATTCAAACGTATATTTCAGCTTTCGAATTCTCGCCTTGGTGGCTATTTTTAAACCTCAAACCTGTCCTTGGCGAAAAATTCCTTTGGGCGTCAAAAACATCGTACACGGTCCAACCAAAACTCATTATTCTTCAAAACGCATGCCGCATCCAGTAAAACCATTGCAAAGTTCAAGAAAATTATCCACGAAGTTTTTTTTCGACGCCTCAAGTTTGCTCAGGAAAATAATCGTGACCTTTGACCTATCTGCGATATTAAAAATCGGCGACAAGGAAATTGTACGTATATACTTTTGAGATTTTTGGACGCAGTTTGAGAGTTTAAAAATAACGAGATAAAGTAAATATATATTGGATTGTTTTATTAAATTAAAACTGGAGCATCTAGTCTGTTGCCCAACGGCCTGGGAGGGTTTTTAAATAATAAATCGGTTAATCTATCAAAAGGTATTTAAAGTTGTACATTCCACATTCTTCCAATAATTTAAACAAATTATCCTGCTAAATTCCACTAAAATCAGCTTTCCTTAACTTAACCAAGGAAATAAACCCACTGAAGAGGAATCCCGTAAACTAATAACCTTACTTCTTGATCCCCACCTCCAAACTCTTAAATTCTTAACTCTCCAGACTTCAACTGCTTCTGAGAAAAATACCAAAATTGAAAGAACATAAAAAATACCACAGAACGCAAAAGGCATCTTCATAAGGGCCATGGTCACTTGCTGTGCTTCGCTTAAGTTTGTATCGTGCTGATCAACAGACAACATTAATCTGGCATAATGGTTAACATTTTTAACACCATCGGTTCGAGATAATGCTACCAATTGTACCCCAATATCGGATAACTCCCTCCATCTCTGATAAATTCCAGACTCAACTAATGCCCCCAATCCGTTGGAAAACAGGTCATAGAAGAAATTTCTAGCCACCATCCATGGGACCCTGAATACAAAGGGGGTTTCTTCCTGGCTTTTGATCACAAATGATTTAGAAAAGTATTTCATCGAACGGATAAATGATGCTAGATCGGTAGCACCATTTAACATGACGAAGGTTGGTTGCAAAGGTATAGTTGAATTAGGGTGCACTTGTACCTTACCTCCTAGTGAGAAGTTCTTCGCCAATTCAGACTCATCACCTCTCAAGCATTTAATTTCGTTGGAAATTGAGGTTAAAAGAAAATAAAACGAATCCGTTGAAGAGCTCTCGATGTACGTCACCAGAAGGCCTGGAATTATCATTTCTAGAGCACATATCAACCCTTGGCCAGATGTGATTGAGGTGCTTGTCATGATGGCAAGATTTCCTTTAACAACTTCTTCCAAATTTAATGGCACGGAGGGTGACTGTCTAGCTGTGACGTAGGAATATAAAGCGCCTTTGTAAAACACGCCACAAAAGAAGGACACTATTAACCAGAGTAGTATTAGCACGGGAATTATGTTCTCATATGAAGTTTGTCGAAATGGTTTAGGGTCTGATTGTTCTAAAAAGACGGAAGATGCCCAAAACAAGTGAACTTTTAATGTATCCGTTACAGATATTTTCAATTTGGTAGGATTTAAACCCAACAAAATTGACAACAGGGTCAAAACCACTATTAACAGAATCCATGTTACTCCATCAAACGGCATGAATATTGCGGACAAACTCATTACGTCCGGATCCGTTATAACAGCGAAATGATAAGGCTCGATTTTTACGCCATGAATTATCCACAAAAGTCCAGCCATAAATATGCGTAGTATTAAATTGAAGCCGGATAATGACGGATGTCCGCGTACAATGAAACCGTATGTTTTCAGAGTTCTTTCGAAACGACTAATTTTATAAACAGTGAAGTTGTACGTTTCAGAAAGTTGCATTTCTACGCAATTGTCAGCATTGGAATCTGAAAATTTAGGATTATTTCGCAAAGAACATTGTTCCAAACCTTGGTTTTCGTTGTTTATATGACCACGGTAAAAGATTGTATTGATGAAATTTTGCGCTAAATTTTTATTGGTGAGAAACCATTGTCGCTTAATATCGATAATTGACATTTCATTGGTAAATGTTGTCATCGCCTGAGCCGTGCCGTACTTGCACGCTAGGCATGGCAAAATAAAGGTGTTCGATGTTGGCAAAAAAATTAGGAAGACTGAGGAAACGTATATACGGTGAAAATCTGGTAAAATATTAGAGTTATACTGGATAATGACAAACTGTGGGTTTGAGGATTGAGCTGCTCTATAGACTAAAATGTCAGTGATCAGTGTTGGCGATGAGTTAGAAATCCAAAACGTGTACAAAACAAGGGCATTGCAAGTACTAAATTTTGATGGAATTCTCAGCCCGACCAAGCCTGGGAGTCTAGATGGTTTATCGTTTTCTGCCACGTGATCGATCAAAACTGCCTGAAATTTAGGGGCGGGCCCTACTTGTGGAATTACGAATGATTGAAATGGTCTGTCGTCGTTATGAAAATCACTTAAAATGGCGAACGTACACCGATCAAAGGATTCGGGAAGGTGAATTGGATGATGATTGGGTTCAGAGTGGCAAATTCTAGAGATAAGGAGAAATATGACGATGTGTGTAGTAATTTGACGGGTAGTCATGGTTGCGTATAATTTTCTCGGTGTATAACGCCCACG